TGATGCCCATTGAGTGATGGTGATGCCATCCAACCATCTCATCCTCTGGCACCCCTTCTCCTTCTGCCCTCCATCTTTCCCAGCATCAGGGTCTTTTCCAGTGAGTCGGCTCTTCCCATCAAGTGGCCAAAGTGTTGGAACTTCAGCATCCATCCTTCAGTGAATATTCAGGGCTGATCTCCTTGCAGTCTATGGATGGGACTCTCAAGAGTCTTCTCTATCACCACAATTTGAAAGCATCAATTCTTCAACATTCATCCTTCTTTATGGTTCAACTCTCACATCTGTACATGACTACTGGAGAAACCACAGCTTAGACTATATGAACATTTGTGGGCAAAGTGATGTCTCTGCTTTTCAATACACTGTCTAGGTTGATCATAGCCTTTCTTCCAAGGAGCAAGCATCTTTTCATTTCATGGTTACAGTCACTATTATTTAGCATAATTAACCTTAGAAATGAGTTTTCATTGGAAAAATTTGAGATGTGCAGGATAACATAGTGGGTGTTAGAAACTTGCATGGGTAACCTTAGTGGTATTCAAGGAGTGAATGGGCAGAAGTGTGCTGGAGACATTCCCATCCTTTAAGAACACAGAGTAGGTGTGATTCAGTCCACATTACCTGTTCCTTTAGGGATGATGCTTGAGGCCTGACTCATTAATGGTTCTGTGTTGGACTATTACTTAATAGGATATGAACTTTAATATGAACTGGCTCTTACCTCTAACACAGAGTGACCTTTAAGTAGGCACTTTCCTGGCAGTGAACGTTTCATGAACAGAATAGTGACAGGAAGCTGGGAATTAGCTTACACATGCATAGTAAGGATAGTTTTGAACCTGTTATCTGTCACTCACCTAACTATTGACAACAATAAGAGCCCCAAAATATTTTTTGTGAGCCAATTGACTTAGGACATTTTCAAGGAGCCTGGAGTCAAGGAAGAGCATGACATTATCAGATATACTAACCTTTTGTTTATTTTGGTTTTGTTTGTTTATTTTGGTTTTTTATTGGAATTTAATTTCTTTATAATGTTGCATTAATTTCTGCTGTACAGCAATATCCATCAGCTACCTGTATACATATATCCCTGCTCTCTGCACCCTCCATCCAGTGATCTAGGTCATCACAGAATACAACCTGTGTTATACAGAAGCTTCCCACTAGCTAGCTATTTTACACATAGTAGTGTATATGGTATGTATGTAGTATAAGTGTGTGTATATATACACACATACTATACTGGCTTTTCAGAATAGGAAGAACAGTATGTGAGGTTACAAGGAAATGAGGATGGTGTGGCAGGGAACTCAAAGGGAGGGGGAATTACCAGGATGCAGGGTCAGATGCTGCAGAAAAGTTTGAAAATGTCAAGACGGAAATATGCACATTAGATTTAGCAACTTGAGGATTGCTGGTGACCTGAGCAGGGGAGGGCAGTGAAGTGAAAAGTAATAATATTTCATAGTGCATAACTGATAATTGCTGTTTGCTATGTCTGGCACTTATCTAAGTGCTTTAGCTGTGTCAACCCCTTTATTAAGATAAGTAGGACTGTATTCCCCAGCTTTCAGATGAGGAAGCAGAGACACAGAGGGGTTGAGTCACTTGCCTAAGGTACAGACACAGTGAGAGACAGACCCCTGAACCCTCAACCACAGCTCTCTGGCTCCAGAGTTGCTACTGCAGACAATACTATTATTACTACTACGATTGCAGCTACTACTGTGAGTGGGGAGGCTCCCTTCAGAAAGCCTGGCATGGTCCTGAGATCCAGAAAGACTATCATAGTAGGAGGGATGTAGGGGGCTAAGACATACTTTTTTCTAATTGGAGAAATTTGAGAATATTTACAAACTAATGAAAAGCTAGTATCGACACAGGAAAAAAAGAGATAATTGAACAGAAACTTCTCAGGAGGCAGAAGAAGGTGAGATCCAGGTGAAAGGGGAAAACTTTGTACCAAGAAGGAAGAAGGAAAAGATCAGAATGGAAGAATGTGGGGAAATCACAGGGTACATATGACAGGATGGTGAGAGAACTGGGAGATGATGTAATTCTTTCTTTATGAAATGTGACCAGAGTGAAGGAAGGACTAGAGTAAGAAGTTTGAGGAAAATGGATATTTTGGAAAATAATTCATGGAGAGTGGAGTGGAAGGTTGATGATGAAACTGAAAAGGATCTAGTAGAGAAGAGAACCCAGGTGCGTATGGAGAGCAAAAAAGTGGCAGTGGTATGCTGGTACATTGGCTTTGGGGAAAGATGAATGTCTTGATCTGTGGCATTTGTCAGTTTCCCAACATGGGTGATGTCAATGGTGTAACAGTTCACTTGCAAAATTTCTGAGTATTTAATCACTAGCTCTCAGGAAAAGAATTATCTGCTCATGCTATTACTACACTGCATCTGTTTGCATGGTTTCCTCCCCAACATGGTGTGGGAACAGAAGGCAGGTTTTGGGGTTGGTCCAAGATTGTGGCTTGGTCCCGGTGAATGGTACAAAAGGAAAAAGAAAGGTAAAAATATTACTAGAAAGTGAGTGTTTACTGTCATTTGATTATAGGGAATTTAGACTGGATAAAGCAGCAGAGGTGCTAAGAGACTAAATTTTTAATGAAATTGAAAAACAAATGTACTAAAGAATGAAAGTGTTAGTCACTCAGTTGCACACAACTCTTTGCGACCCCATGGACTGTAACCAACCAGTCTCCTCTGTCCATGGGATTTTCCAGGCAAGGATAGTGGAGTGGGCAGCAATTCCCTTCTCCAGGGTCTCTTCCCAACCCAGGGATAGAACCCAGGTCTCCTGCATGGCCGGCAGTCTCTCCTGTCTGAGCCACCAGACAGGAGATTGGGGGAAGGAGATTACTTGTTTAAGGAATAAAAATAATCTTCAGGTGATCAAGATCAAGCGTAAAAAAAAAAAAAACCCACCAAAACCCCCCAAATCTCCTAGTGTACTTCTTTAGATTTCAGACTTTTCTTTTTATCATTTCTTTGGTAAATTCATTGCTTTAATTTTTTTCTGTTTTCTTTGTATCTCTGAATCTTGCTGTCTTTAAGCTTTTTCGTTAAGCTTTTTCACATTTGTTTTTTAAATCCTTCTGTTGAGTCCTCTTCAGCTATTATATTTAAACATCTTTTATTCTCCATTTTTATAGTATCTTATTTTGTTTCAAGGATGTAGTATATTTTAAAATTTGTCTAAGAATAGGAACCCAACATTTTTAGTTATTTTTTTCTGGTGTCGTCTTGTCTAAATTAGGTCTCTGCTCCAATGTTAGCTATTCTTTCATGTTGGTTTTTTACTTTTATGTATAAAAGTAAGAGTAATCTATGAGTCTCTTCATATATCTCTGTGAATGAGACAAATTTCATTCAGAAAAGTGAGACAGGAGGTAAGTGAACAGAGGAAATTAGAAGTTTACAAAACCGTAGGAAGCACTGGAGGTGTGTTTAGGTCCAGGAAGCTGGTCCTGGTCTTTAGAAAATCGGCGAGTTCAGGGACCAGAGCAGTGAGTGACTCACAAGCGGACCCGAGAGCCATGTTGGCAGCCGCTCACTTCCGCCGTCTGCGGAAGCCATGCCTTGCCGTCTTCTCTCTGCCTTCCAGAGCTTGTGCAGGTAACTCCTCTGAGTCAGTCTAGGAAATGTGCTTTCCAGGCTTCCTGCCTGGGCCTAAACGGAAGCAGGCACGTTTCTGAGATGCTCACAAGCAGCTCACACAACTGCTGTTGAATTCGCATTCTAATAGGCAGGTGGGAACCTGGTGGGAACTTCACTTGCTGCTCTTTTCTAGCCTGGTCTCCCACCCGACTGGAAAACATGACCGGGGACCTATGAACAGAAGTGATGTCATGCTGATTAGTAAACCCTCTTTGCAGTGAATAGATAAGGAGCTAGCTGTCGAACTCCAAATCCCCCAGGAGCAGAACAAAGAAAGATTTATTCTGGAATGTCAGCATCCATGCTGGGAGCAGTAGCTTTCCCCAGACACTTTCTGTTTGTCCAGAGAAGAACTAGGGTTTGACACGGGGGTAATAGCGGCTCTCAGCTGCTTCCCATATTGGATAAAGACGGAGGGAGGTAAGTGCTGATTCGATTCATCTCTTTCTCTCTCTTCAGCTGCACCCCACCATCTAAGCCCTCAGCAGTCCCTGCAGACCCAAGCCTGGGACCTTCCAGAGCCTCCTGGGTGGACAGCCCTTCCCCTTTCTCAGCCTCTCAGCACACAGCGGTAGAGTAGGCTGTGCACACCCTGCCCCTCAACAATTTTCACAAGTCTGTTGTGATCACTCCTTATGGTTGATGCTCAATTGCATTGTGTTTTCATAGTTTAGGTTTATTCCTTATTGTGCTTCTGGACTTTTATATCATTGAGGCCCTAGTGCAACAGAGTGCAAAAGCAAATGACTAATCTGCCATTTATCTTAATAAGTTTTGCCCATTTTGGAAGGTGTATTTGGCTCCTTGATATGGACCTCTGTCTCATATTTGTAACCTGTTTCCCACAGCCATACAGAGCATGTGCAAAGTCCCATGACTCCAATAGAAACTGAATTGTCTTCTGAGCCGAGATGCTCACTTTTGACTCTGTTTCTTTGTAGACCTCCAAGACCCTTCTCCCCGCTCTCTTCTGTGTATGTGAACAGTCCATCAAGGTCCCATGAAATCTAATTTCCTTTGTCAAGGTGAATCTGGCTAATTGCAATTTTATCCCTTTTTTGAATTTTAATTGAAGTATTATTACATGATAAAAACGTGTGCCTATACAGGACACACATGTCTATATTACTTTTAGTGCCACATCTATACAAGATGAAAAGTGAAAGTGAAAGTTGTTCAGTTGTGTCCGACTCTTTGCAACACCGTGGACTATACAGTCCATGGAGTTCTCCAGGCCAGAATACTGGAGTGGGTAGCCTTTCCCTTCTCCAGGGGATCTTCCCAACCNCTCATTTTTTTTTTTTTTTTCTTTTCTGAATCTTCCAGGAAATATAGCTGAAGATGTCAAAGAAATCAGAAGACAGTGAAAAGAAAGTGGAAGCAATTTAAAAAGGTATTAATAATTGATACCTAGCTAGTCCCTCTCCTCTTCCTCATTACTTTCGTAAATTCCATTTATCTCTCTTTGTATAACAACAAGCATTAGCCTTTTCCTATGGTAGTTTGGTGCAAGGTAGTTGAACGAGCATTCCTATAAGGTGGAGGCAATTTCATAGCCTGCCCTGTTAAATTCACATAACTTCAGTGAGCATCCCAACTTGAACATGTTCTGTGTCCTGTTTTTAATTTTTATAACAAAGAACTGTCCCCTGAGAAACAGTGAAGTGAAACTTTTTGTTTTGATGACTGAGGAAAGAGATGGGAGTATCATTTCCAGTGTTAGAGAGAGTATATCTCTCTGGCCAGACCACCAAAGGACATTGCTGTTGGGTTTTGACAGACTTGTTACATTATTAAAGTCCATCTCTTTCCTAGGAGCACACACCGTTACAACAATAATCTCTGTAGGAAAACTTTCTTCCTGTTTTTGGCTGGAGGCACCCCTGCATCTTTGAGACGATTATTTTGGTTGTTACTCAGAAGTTCCCTGAAGAGCCAGCAGCTTTCCCTATGGTGTTTGAGCTTTGACCTTGAGCAATTTTTATGACATATTATTTAATGATCTTAAAAGCCGTGCTTTTTTCATTTTTCTTATTTAATATTCACATTGAAACTGAAACTTAGAAATGAATGACAGGAAGGGAAAATTTAAATGAGGGCCCAAATTTAGCTTTTTCACTCTGTTTAAATATTTTTCACTAGCTGAGGTATTATTTTGTGTGAATTTTCTCAAGTTTTTCCTTCCTCTTTCCAGGTGTGGATTAAAACTTTGTATAAAAATTAAAGTACAATGTGAATTAACAGATAATAATGGTAAGTCATTATTTAAAAAATAATACATAGAATTTTAAGACATGAATGCTACCATGTAAATTAAGTATATTGTATCCCTATATTCATCTAACATTCATCTATAACATGAATGATGTGACTGTATATAAAGCTCACATATTATATATCTCATGTACCAGGAGATTTAGAATTAGACCTGGATATTCTCAGAAAGCCAGCTAAATCCCTAATTGAAATGAACACTCTAAGCAACTAAGCATTATCACTCCCTGTGATAGGAAGCATGCAAATTATTGAAATAAGTAGATCCTTTATTTTCCCTTTTCTTTTGGCCTTTGTTTTAGAGTCTTAAAAATCTATTCTTTGTAATATGTAAGTAAGCCATAATCATATTCTTTTCAAATTTATTTTTTTAACTTTAAATGCTAAGTTTTAATGCTATAGGCCAGAACTCTCCATTGGAACTTTCTGCAATAATAGAAATCCTGTATAGCCACACTGTCTAATAAGGTAACCACTAGCCACATGTAGTTAGTGAACATCCCAGAAACGTGACTTCTGTGATTGAGGAACTGAATTTTCATCTCTGTCGAGCTTTAATTCATTTAAATTTAGTAGCCACCATATTAGCATAGCTGTAGCCTATTGGAGAAGAGAATGGCAACCCATTCCAGTATTCCTGCCTGGAGAATCCCATGGACAGAGGAGCTTGGCGGGCTACAGTCCATGGGGTCACAAAGAGTGGACACGACTGAGCCACTAAATCACCACCATCAGACTACTGAAAGTACCAGTGTTTAAGTACCAGTGTTTAAGAGTGGCTGAATGAAAGGATGCTCAGCATCACGCATTATTAGAGAAATGCAAATAGAAACTACAATGAGATATCACCTCATACCAGTCAGAATGGCCATCATCAAAAAGTCTCCAAACAAAAAATGCTGGAGAGGGTGTGGAAGAAAGGGAATGCTCTTCCACGTTGGTGGGAGTGTAAATTGATACTGCCACTATGGAAGACAGCATGGAGATTCCTTAAAAAATTAGGAATAAAACCGCCATATGACCCAGCAATCCCACTCCTAGGCATGTTCCCTGAGGAAACTAAAATAGAAAAAGACACACGTATCCCATTGTTCACTGCAGCACTGTTTACAATAGCTAGAACATGGAAGCGACCTAGATGTTCATTGACAGATGCATGGATAAACAAGTGGTGGTACATATACACAGTGGAATATTACTCAGCCATAAAAAGGAATGCATCTCAGTCAGTTCTAATGAGGTGGATGAACTTAGAACCTGTTATACAGAGTGAAGTAAGTCAGAAAGAGAAAGATAAATATCTTATTCTAATGCATATATATGGAATCTAGAAAAATGGTACTGAAGAATTTATTTACAGGGCAGCAGTGGAGAAACAGACATAGAAAATAGACTTATGGACATGGGAAGAGGGGAGGAGAGGGTGAGATGTGTGGAAAGAGTAACATGGAAACTGACATTACCATGTGTAAAATAGACAGCCAACAGGAATTTCCTGTATGGCTCAGGAAACTCAAACAGGGGTTCTGTCTCAACCTAGAGGGGTGGGATGGGGAGGGAGATGGGAGGGAGGTTCAAAAGGGAGGGGATATATGTATGCCTATGGCTGTTTCATGCTGGGGTTTGACAGAAAACAACAAAATTCTGTAAATCAATTATCCTTCAATTAAAAAAAAGTAGCTGAAGTGTAAGGTGTTTCTTAATTATACAAGGATGATTTTTTGAAAAGATATTAAGAACTTTTTGTCATGCATATGTTGAACTAATTTTAAAGCACTTTTATAATAGAGTAGCATATATAGATATGTATTGAATATACATATTCATGCATATATATTTATATATAAACCAGAAAGAATTTGCAAGACTTGGTTATGTAGTAATATCACACAAAAACTGAAAAAGTTGTATGGCTGAAAAAAATGTGCTGTTGTCAGTGAGTACTGGTACCTATCTAGCAATGAAATGAAAAATTTAAAAATAAATCCCACCATACATGCAATACCAAAAAGCACAGGTGGTACTGAATTTTAATGAATCTTGATAACTAAAAATGTAAGGCAGTGTAAAAGAAGTTTGATTGAATTCTTCTGAAGGTAACCATAATTCTTGAAGACAGTTCACCAAAAAGAAGCTAACTATAAATAAAATAGTAATTTTGAAGAAAATTCAATGTCATGCTCTGGCATTCAGAAAAGTAAATATTGTATACCTACTAACAGGTGAATGAGGGTAATAACTTGTTGATCTAAATTGTTAATAAAATAACTCAAATTTTATCTCTGATCAGTCTTGTGAAATAAGATTTACTGTTAAGTTTTAAGAAAACAGAATGACCAACAAGCTCTGAAATCTGTGTTTTTGAAGTGATGGTGCTTCTTGACATCACTAAGGATAGCATATCCCCCCCTCACCTTTTATCTTTGATGCTAACCCTTGCCTTGTCAGTATTTGCTCTTTAGATATATAATAATTTGGAGAGAAATAGGTCTTATTCACTGGGAATTATATAGATGTATAGATTTTTCACATACACCTAACACTTCAGTTAAGGTCTAAGCATTACTGTAGGTTTGCATGTTATGTGTGTGAGGGGTACATTTGGGAAAAGGAAGGTAGAAGATGTTTACATATATATATATACACACACACATATATGTATAATTTTATTTATTTTTGGCTGTGCTAAGTCTTCATTGCTGTGCTGGTGTTCTCCAGCTGTGGGGAGTGGGGCTGCTCTAGCTGCGGTGTGCAGGCTTCTCATTGCAGTGGCTTCTCTTGTGAAGTGCGGGCTCTAGGGCGTGTGGGTCTCAGTAGTTGTGGGTCTGTCTCTGGAGCACAGGCTCAGTACTTGTGGGGCACGGGCTTAGTCACTCTGCGCCATGTGGGACCTTCCCGGATCAGAAATCTAACCTGCATCTCTTACAGTGGCAGGTGGATTCTTTACCACTGAGCCACCTAGAAAGCCCCGGAAGGTAGAAAATGTCTAATCTGTGAGAGTCATGAGTTAAATGATGCAGGTCTGAATCCCATTGCATATGCTATTATGATAAGGAGCAAAATCCAAGACAACGTGATAGGTTGTATTTAAAAATTATTTATTGAACCAAGCCAAATCTTAAGGTACATTTGGCACAGTGAGGCACTAGTTCCTGTAGCTCTGAAGTATTTCTTCATTGCTGCTAAATCTATAACTGTAGTTTGACAGGATGATAAAGAATTATGTTTTTGTTCTTTCTACCATTTGTTTAAAATTTGTTTGCAAGTGTGTGCATTGGAAAGAAACACAAATCAAGTAGTCAGGAGATTGCGTTATTCTTCTGACTCTTCCCTTTTATCTCTCTGTGATCTGCAACAAATAATGTTCTTGGATCTCAGAAAATTAGATATATGTTTTCTATGAGGCATTTAATTAAGAAATAATTCCTTGAGATGAAAGAGACAAAGCACTATACAAGCAATACTGTTTCCAGAAGAGACATATGTATTAGTTTCCTAAGGGGTGATCTAACAAATTACCACAAACTGGATGGTTTAAACCACACAAAAAAAACTTATTCTCTCATATATTGTGTGTGTTATTTGCTCAGTCATGCCTGACCCTTTGCGATCCCATGGACTATAGTCCACAAGGCTCCTCTGTCCATGAGATTTCCCAGGTAAGAATACTGGAGTGGGTAGTCATTCCCTTCTCCAGGAGATCTTCCTGACCCAGGGATTGAACCTGGGTCTCCTGCATTGCAGGCAGACTCTATTGGCTGAGCCCCCAGGGAAGACCTCTCTCAAATACTGGCTTGGCCAAAAGGTTCATTCAAGTTTTCCATAAGACATTATGGATAAATCCAAATGAGCTTCTTGGCCAACCCAACAGTTCTGGAAATTGGAAATAGAGATATTGATGGGGCCATGCTGACTCTGAAGGCTCTAGGGGAAGATCCTTTCTTGCCTCTCCCTCATCTCTGATATTGATGGTGATTCTTGGTGTTCTTTGGCTTATAAATGTGTCATTCCCATCTCTGTCTCTTTCTTTTTGTGATCTTCTCCCCTAGGTGTCAACGACTCTGTGTCCACATTTCTCTCTTCTTCTAAGGACACCATTCTAATCCCATATGACCTTATCTTACCTTGAGCACATCTGCAGAGACCCTGTTTGTAAATAAGTTGCCTTCACAGCTCTTGGGGTTTAAGAATTGAATGTATCTTTTAGGAGACACAGCTGAACCCACAGGAACACCAGAAGGCACAGTCTATTTCTGGGGAAGGAGGCACAAGTCTCAAATAAAGGAGTGATTAAATCCTGATATCTAGACACAATGAGGGAGGAATAATGGACACCCAATATGAACATATTTCATATCTATTGATATAAAAGTATGTACACATACTTTCATTGCAAATGCTAGAAATATAAACTAAAACAGAAAAGCCTATTTTAGTTTGAAGGATATCAACTCATTTCCATGGAAAGGCATGAAGGAGGTCTCAGCAGGGAGAAGTCAGCTTGAAGAGTCCCAGAGCCTCCATGAGCTGACCTTTAACTTGGACTCACCACGGGCCCATGACTGCCTTCAGTCTTGAATTCTCAGAGAATGGGATCTTAGTAGTATTTCCCAATCGTTGACTCCCCATGTGCAACCTCAGGTTAGTGTGGTTAAAGGGAAGTGAATATAGCAATGCAGTGTCCTGTCCATTTCCAGTAACACCCCTTAGAGCCAAGCTGAAAAGAACTAACAGTACTTGTTTCAGAAAAGTTCAGTTCAGTCACTCAGTTGTGTCCAACTCCTTGCAACCCCATGGACTGCAGCACTCCAGGCTTCCCTGTCCATCACCAACTCCTGGAGTTTGCTCAAACTCATGTCCCATCAAGTCGGTGATGCCATCCAACCATCTCATCCTCTGTTGTCCCCTTTCCTTCCTGCCTTAAATCTTTCCCAGCATCAGGGTCTTTTCCAGTGAGTCAGTTCTTCACATCAGTGGCC